ATAACTCCGCTCAAACTGGTCCAAATCAGATAATTTTTTTTTTGAACTGGTCCCTGAATTAAGACAAACATGAATATCAGAAGACTAACCATAAGCAAGGAATTGCTCCTATCACAATCATTGTATACTTGATCGTGGGAAGAAATGATGAACCACCGCCTCTACTGACCTCATCAACTGAAAAAACCGAATGAAGATCTAACCTGTAACAGTATAGTGCATCGGAAGGAGAAGAAAAAGATAAAGATATAAGATAAGTAAGGAAAAGCTGAAATCATAAAAAAAAAACTTAATATTTTCTTAAAATTTCGAAATTTTCAGCAAATTGGTCCCGAAGCGATCCGGGTTTTGACAATTATGAGAAGGGCTAAGGGAAGGTGGCCTCGTAACAAAACCAGAAAACTTTATTTAAAAAAACAAAAGTAAACTAAGGAAGAGCTCTGCTTAACCAATAAAGAAAACCGAGTTTCTTCCAAACCAAACATCAGAGTTTGAAAATCTCAACGATCACATCTGTTGAAACCGAACGACCACCATATCGAAATCTTCATTATTGTTTCGTTTCTTCTTTATAAGATTATAAAAGTCTGAAAATCTCTGATCGCAGGTTCGACGGTGCGACCTGGTAACCTTCACTCCTCTCTCTGGAGGTCCTTTAGAGCAACATAATTTTCAAATGATGTTTTATTGTGTGTTAAAGTTATCTTCAAGATACTCACAATTTAGGCTATAAAAATACTAAAAACTGTTAATGACAGAAAACTATGCAAATCAAAAAGAACTTGCTGAGCTTTAGTAAGAAGGAACATTGTCAAATCCTGGTCTTTTGTACATTTTCTCCGCATGAGCTCCTTTGGGTGGATCAATGGGACTGAAAACGTATGGTTAGCATATTGAATATTCAAGGATGACATACTTAATGTTAGGCATTTTAGTTTGGCTCAATTCCGCAACTGAATGGTAACTAACAGAGCCACGTAGTGGGGCTGGCATAGTTGTTTCTTCCATGTCATCAGCTACAAAAGGTCTGGAAAAGAAATATTAAGTTGGCAGTTTGTGTGAGGAGTCCTTTTCCCTTTTCTCTGTGTCTTCCCACCGTACAACATCTAAAAATGGTAAGTGAATTATCTGGCTTCGAAAATGAACAGAAGAAGACACAGAGAAAGGGGCAAAGATTTATTTTGAACTTTTATTTCGAAATACAATATCATAACTGAAATAATGAAAAGTTTAGTCGGTCATACCAATAGAATATATAGTTTATAGCTTAAAACTTTTGAACCAATGATAGAAAAGTTCTGTTTGTTTTCTTCTAATCGACAGGGTTATAACTAGCGATTTGCTCTGTCTGAGACCTGTAGAAAGCCATCTGAGCTCGTTGAGGGTTGAGAGGCATAGCCTCCATCTGCTCTGGAACCATTACACGACTGATCTCATCTTCCGAACGTTGAATGATTTTGACGGGCGTCGGGGCAGAAATGCTCTCTTCCTTCATAGGCGATGGTATGAACTTTTCTGAAGAAGTTACTCTCAAAGCTTCGAAAACAACTAGTCATAGAAAAAGTGTTCATTGTTGTAAATAAACATACGCAAAGAACAGTAGTAAGAAGGGAAATATGTTACAAATCATTTCAGAAGATAATTCGGGGAAAAGGTTGTTTCAGAAAATCTCTGGAAAAATTATTATGCATTATGAGGAAATAGAAGGAGATTTCATTTCGAAAGGTTAATACATGCTTTACTTCATGCAATCAGAGGAAGTCGATTTTTGGTATTCGAGGAAAAAGCTTCAACTGGATGTCGACGTAATAGATAAGTTATAAAGTTTCTATAACAGCTAACTCAAGCTCTTCTCATAGTTACAGCATTTCACGAGAATCAGTTGAGTCTGGTCGTTCGTAGGTTATTTCTTGTCTAAAGCTTTCTTCTATTTTCTCATGCACTCCATGGCGTATAACAGATCCACCTCCTTCAGCACTGCTAACTGTCACCCTAGAATCCCGACGTGCACCAGGGCCTGCATTATATCCATCCAAGCGTTTTGATATCGCCACTTCACGTACGACCCCAGGATCGTCGATGTTGAAGCCAGCAGTATTAGAAACTCCTCCAGTGCGTGCAATGTGTCCTCCATAATAAGGTCGTCCACTACCGCTATGACTGTATGTTCTATTGCCGTAGCCACCATACATATGATCAGGGGAGCTGTATGTATCATGTTCGTTCACTAAACGTTCACGATCATTGAACCCTCTGTTGGATCTTCCTGATCTGTTTGTCTCGAGAGCAGTGTATCCTCCTTTGTTCGCAGTTCCATCAGCATAGTCTAAAACGGTCATGCACCAAAGTTAAAGGGAAAAGGTAATGGTTACGTAAGACTGGGCAAACACATGCTAATAGATTACTAACCTTTTTTTGGTTTTGGCTTACGTCGCTTGGCACAGATATAAGCGATAGTTAAGAGAGCAGCAGCAAGAAGGATGAGCAATAAAATAATGAAAATTATGATGAGCCTGAGATAGATGAATATTAGACAAGAACAAAATAGCTTTTCTTACCATAGCGGGATAGTGACCTCCTCAGGAATACAACAACTACGACCACAACATTCTAAGTGAGAATCACACCTAAAATAGAGAGATTGAAGTTGAAATTCCCTAGAGAGAGAGAGTGACAAACCTAAATTCATATCGTTCGTTACGGCCATTTACATTTCCTTCCTCAAAAATACATTGGCGAAACGCGTCGGTATAACCCTCATAGATAATTCCTTTGCTCTCCCCTTGGAGAGCGATTTCGACCATTACCTGAACAATAGATGTAAGAATTGGAATGATGAAGAAGGAGATACTTGAACATTTTGTATAAGTTCGTTGAATATAAAAAATAAATTTACTAATACTAAGAAAGGTTCAAAAAGAGAAGGAGTTGATGACAAACAGTAATTGGGAGTGATGATAGAACAATACTTAAGAAAAATTAGATGAAAGAATGGAACAAGCGTCAATTAGATAAGAAAAAGAAGAAGAAGAAGAAGAAGAGAGAAACAACCATTCAATGCGTTTGCATGCTTCAAAATGAAGACGCGCCCACTTCACGTAAAGTTCACGTAAGTACACGTGAAAAATTAGCATTATTGACAGCGTACAACAGCAATAAGAATATTTTCTAAACAAACGGAGATATAAAAAGGCAGCTGTGAACATTAGAACGATCATTAGACATAGAAGTAAGCGCGTCCGTTTTCAATAGGGCGTGGTGATTCCTAAGTCGGACCTGACGTCTCGAACGTTACGTCCGGACATCTTCAGTTCCTTGGTTGAACTCTATGATCAATTATATAGATAAATTTCATGAGAAACGACGAGCAATCCTTGAAGTGAAGGAATGCGGAATCATAGTGTTAGGCTCACTCGGTAATGGAGACAAATCGCTGATGCGAGTAGAAACAGAAAAACCATTTAAAAAAGCCTTCGATGATTCGCGTGGTGAAGAATAAAGTTTGCAATTAGATAGTCAAAGATCACTACATAAATAAAATAAAATAAAATTGTCAAACTAATTAAGATGAATCCTGTCAACTTATTGACAAACATGATTGATTCATAGCTGACTACAGATTTATGTCAACTGTCTTTTGATTCAATTCCAAATAAGATTTCTCCTAAGGACAACGTTCTCCGTTCAATTGAAGCCGTATTTTCGTAATGGTACGAATAGGATATAATCGAACTTCGATGAAATGGTTGAAGAAAGGTGTGTCAGAGAAGTTGCCTGTTAGGTTGAAACTCAACTGACTAGAGTTGGGCGTGGGAGATCGGAGAATAGGTGGCAAGACTGCAGATAGAAAACCATGACAGTGGAAAATACAAAGTTTGAATGTTGTGATTGACATGCAACTTGAGTTGATTTACACGACAAGTTGACAAGGGATTAGAAAGTTTGATTATTGATCTGACTGATTAGGCTATGAATTGCTTAATAAGCTGAATACGATGAGAGAGAGCTAGATATAGGTATTCAACATGAAAAACAGGGAGGGAATATAGAGAGCAAGTCAAGGGAGAAGATGGCGGAAAGAGGCTAAGACCGGTTACGGCCGTGATATGACAAACAGAATGAGTGAAGATGACGAGGAGGCATCTGGGGAGAAATATTGGCAGAGAATAAGCACGAAATCATAAGAAAGATAGCCGAAAAGACACATCTAGTTGAAATAAGATGATGCAAAAAGTTCCAAAATGATAAGAAACAATCAAAAACAGAAACGAAGAGAAATTATTCTCACTTAACTTATTCGTTGCATCTGAATAAATATTAATCAGATGAAGCACCACGTGGGCTTTCACCTTCTGCTTTAAATGATTCTATCAATCATCAAGCCACAACTTTGGACTTGATATCCTAAATACGCATGATCAGGTTATAGCAGACAAAAAATTTGTGAAGGGGTTTGCTGGAGAAAGCACGCTTAAGTATGAGCCAAATTCCAGGCAGTTGGGTCGATAAGATCTGATGTCGATTGTGGTTAAGGAAAGAGCGGTTCTATGCTGAAGAAGGAATGAAATATAAAAGAGGGAGGTTAGGCGTTGGAGGAAATTGAGACAAACAGGTCATAGTTGAACAACCTGCGTTTCGTTCTCCTGGAGCAACGACATTCGTGATCGTAGTTGTTGTATTAGAAAAGCAAATAGGTGGAACGAGGGGAGAACAGGTAACAACTACTATTCATGGTTTGGTTTCAAATAAATAAAGTTTGATAAAAGGGCATTCATGATGGCATAACACGATGAGAAATAGCATAATGAAACCAAAGAAAAGCTGAGAAAGCCCAACTTCTCAGAGAAGTAATAGGCATAGTGAAAAAAGAAAACAAAAAAAGAGAGAAGCAGACAAGCAACAGGGCGTTTCCTTTCCTGATGACAACGAAGATCGTTACCCTTCTAAAGACGTACACATGAAATGGCCATCACGAAAGAATGGAGAGTGAGATCAGAACCGGTTTCAAGCCAATCACAACAACACTTCGACACTTTTAACGCATGTTTTAAACTTAATGAAATACTTTATCAATGCATGGTTTACTTACTGATTACATAAGTGATATCAGCAAGTTTCTTGCTAGCTACCTGCTTACTAAAACAAGTCTGTACAAGCGCAAGGGATATTGGAGATGAAGCCGAAATAGGTCAGACTACCCTTTTAAATGGAAGTACAGAGACAAGCTACTGTTTTTTTTTCAACAAATGACATGGAAAAGACAATGAACTGAAAGAAATACGAAAAAGAAACTTAAAGTTGATAGTACAAGCATAGGCTGCTTCTTCTCTTCAATGCTAGAATGAGGGTAGTGTACTGAAAGGAAGAGAACAATGACGAAGTGGGAAAGCTCAGATAGTGAGAGAAATGACAGAGGACTCGAAACAAACGGTGAGATAGACCGAAATCTCCGATGGAGAAGATGGAGCAAGAATCAGTAGAATAAAGAAAACGAATAAGTGATCGAAGGAAGAAACGGAATTCTAAGCTGCATGTCGGCAGCAACTTTTCATGTTTGCTGAGAAGTCAGCAGAAGGGCCGGGCGAAACATAAGTGAGTGTGGCGAATAAATGCAGACTTACGATGCGAGAGAAACGACGAACGTAACCATCAGGATAGCTAGAGAATCATTGACGAGGACAGACGCTCTACTACTTGTGTAGGAGTTGATGAGAGGAGGTGGATGTGGACGGTACGCCCGTGATAATCATTGAGTAAAACGAAGCTGAAATGACTGCTGTGAACTGTAAATCTGTCAAAAAATGGAAGAAAACAGAACATACTAAATACCGCACGCGTGGCATAGGTAGTACTCGAGATATTACGAGAATGACATAAACGTTTCTCGAATAGGGCATGAAAGATTTATGAATTTTATACAATGTATAACAGTGCCCATTATAATAGGTGAGAAATAGAAATTTAAAAACTAAGTCACTAATACAACATGCTTCAAGCGTAACAACTTCTATGATATAAATAGTTATGATTATAAATCTGAAAGCCGACATAAAGTAATGATATGATATGTTATGAGCGAATCACTGGCAAATGTGTTAACGAGTAAAGTTTTTTTTATGAGAACAAGTATATAAGGTGCCTATATGCTACTAGCAATTGAACCATTGATGTGTCAGGAACAGCATACTCAATAAGGTCAGAGCAAACTTGAAAGAAACAGTTGATGAAGCATTACATCTGAAAAAAAAAGTTTGGAAACTTACAAGAATAAGCGAAAAATAAATTTTATACTACTTCATCCCATACAACCGATCATCACGTCCAAACAAGCTTAAATGAAAAAGATCTGGGTATGACATGCTCCATTATCATTTATCTCTGCTAGTACGCAATGACCGGTTGTATTCAGGACGGTCAAGTATGATAAATGTCGTAGGCGTAATTTTAACACATTTATATTATAAGAGACTTACCTATGTTCTGCACATACACACAATCGTGTATGAGCTTGAAATCTCTCATCAAATGTGTCCGTACAGTTCCCAATCTAAAGCAATGAGTCATTGGGAAGACGGAAATATGTTCTTACCTTGGGCAATAATTTATCTGAACCTCCCAAACAGCCTAACTTGACTGTCTCTTCTAAAATAATTTGAAATGAAATATGGAAAATTCGTTTGAGCTTACTTTTGTTAATTGTAGAAACTTTCTTATAACAGTATAAACCCTCACACTTGTCCATCAGTGAGGAGTCTGTTGTCATGTAGCATTCTATTTTATTTGGACTTTCTATAATTTGGGAACACTAAAGATGATAAAGAAATGTAACTATTACCTGTTCTCTGTGTTGAAACAACAAGGACTAAAGAAAAGAAGATGGCAAGTAAAGATCTATTCATAGTTGCGAAAAAAACAGTAGACAGTCCTATAAAAAACGATCGATAATGGAATGAAATCCGTATTCATAAAGACATAACAATATTATTTATTCATGAGAGGTGAAAGGAATGAGAGAGATAGGACGAATGGAGATGTTACAATCTATTAGCTATCACCGAGAAGAACAACCAACAAGGAAATATCGTGATGAGTCATACATTGATTCGATCGACGTGGTACCATTATTATCTTCATAATAAAAATAAGAGTATCAAGCTTAAGCAGATTATAAGAAATCGTATGACACATCAGAAAGTCGGTTCGAACTACGGAATGAGAAGTGCAAACGATCGATCAGAAAATAAAGAGGAAAGTAGAATTATTAAGAAAAGTAAACGATGGATTTGAACGTGTCTGAAAACGTGAATGGCCAAGACCAGCAAGCAATCTATAGGCGGAGTTAGCAACAAAGGTGAGGTTAGGTAGGCTATTCCGAGAAGAACAAATACAAGAAGGTCATCAGTCGCTTACGAAATAACTAGAGTTAAGACAGTCTGATGAATTAAGAAGTTATAATGATTGCACATGAATCTTAGGAATTCGCCTCAAGCAGTTACATCACATTGTGAAAGACTCCCTCTGTCTACTAAACTAGATTGACCTTCACATCTTCTACCGCATCGATAGAAAAATAACGTTTTGCTGGATAGACAACTCTTGTTAAAACAATAGAGAAGCAAACAGAGAATATTTATCGAACTCATGAATGGAATGAATATATCACTTTATGCGTTCAAATTGGCATCGGGTTGTGCGTCTGGCTCGGCATCTTTGAATTCCTTAATTTGTCCCAATGACTCATTAATTCTCAGCAGAGTTGGGAATTGAGAAACATTCACTCCGAAGCTGTGACGAGGAATTATTTGAACAGTGACTGTACAATTACCGATTAGCGTTGTATAAGATAGATGGAACAACAAGATCTGCGATGCTGACTTCATCTCCTACGCAATATTTTCCAGCGGACTTTTTGACCAAGTCTTCTAACTTAGTGAGTCCGGTGGTTAGAAAGTGAGTGGCAAACTGAAGGTGAAATTAATTGGCTCGAAAGAGATCAGAGAAACTGACCTCTTTACCCTTTCCTTCCGCTTGACTGTTTAGATGTTTCAAAACGGCCAGGTTTTGAAGTGGCTGAATTCCAGCAGTTACCTTAAAGAACTACGGTTGTCAAGTAGAAACTATCAAAACTCACATGAAGTGCGATAGCTCTAGCTTCAGCTCTCTTGAGTGGATCAGTAGGGAGAAGTCTTGTTTTGTTAGGGTACTTGTCTTCCAAATATTCGATGATAGCCAAACTCTCAGCAATTGGATGACCGTTATCAATGAACACAGGAACCTTTTGGATTGGAGTGACTGTCACGAAGTCGGGAGCGTTCTTCAAAATAATCAATTTTTTTGTTTTGTTTCAACAATATTACCAGAGCATTCGAATCCAGAAGGTTGACAGTTTTGTACTCATAATCAATTCCTTTCAAGTTCAAAGCTGAAAGAATAGAGGGAAATGACACACGCCTTGAAACAACAAACCTATGCGTACGCGCCAAGAACAGGAGCTTCTCCAATAAGAATAAAGAATCGGTTTTGCCATCTAAACAAACAAAATTTGTGAAAAACAATGCAAATACGAACACATTTTATTTGAAAAAGTATATGACAAGAAATGACAATAAGCGAAACCAGACCGATTGATAAATTATCGATCAGTATCGATATAGCAAAAAGTGACATAGGAGGACGATCACACGGACAGAAACAGAGACAACAAGTCAACAAGGTCGATAATAAAGAAGTGTATCGTGAAGTAATACACGCATATAAAGAGAAAAGAGAAAATTACAATAGTTTATTTGCTGACTAAAGCAAATTTTTTACTTTCTTGCAAGATCTGCAAAAGATCATCTGGAGCCATACGATAAACAATGGCCAGATCTTCTAAGGAATTTGTTCCATTGCACAGTCTCACAATCCTGGAAATTGTCCAATTCGCACCAAAATACAAGAAAAACAAACCTGCTCTCGGTTTCATTCGAGCAAGTTGATACAGAAATAGGATATATGGATAATTTTCTCAAGAACTTTCGATGCATCCCGAATTGGATGAACCTACGCTCATCCACATTATAGGTTCGAGGCTGCATCTCTTCACACCACCTCACCAAATTTATATCAGCCTAGAAGACTAAATGCTTTGTACTTGTGAATCAGTAGTAATTCGACCTTCAAACTCATATATAAACGGAAAACATCGGAAAACAGTGGCATTGGCAATTTTTCGTTTTTATCATCTCGAATACGAACGAACTCGAGACACATCTAAGAGAAGGGAGAGAGAGAATTAAAAACTGAAAGTTCCTCAATTACCTGTTTCTCCAACTCATTACAATAAAAATTGTGCAACTTCTCTGTAGCAACGTAAGTATTTGAATACAAAAATAATGGAACCGTGTCGACTAACTCGTAAAAATATAAATTTCTACAAACAAAGTGGTTAAACTAGTTCAACTGAAATACTTTACCTAACACAACGGGAGACTAGATCTGGATCAATATCGACCTCATGGGCTATTTCCAAAATGCACCGGACTCCATCAATCTTGGGTATAATCTGAAACCATAAGTTGTGTTTCTAATTCAAAGGTACATACCTTCTGTGAAAGAACATCCATTCTGTCAATGAGACCATTCTCTTCGAACAAATCAACTTGTCTGATGAACATGGGTACCATATATTGACTTATCTGAGAAAACATTTATGATAAACAAAGAATATTGAGAATTCATACCTTAGGAGGTTCAATTCCACGATAGGATGGACAGAGCTTCAAATACATACTGGTCATAGTACCTTCGACATTGAGCAAGCAAGTTCCTGGAATCACTATCATTTTTCTGAAATTTCTGATATTCCTAACCTCTCGAGTTCAAATCATCGAAAATCTGTAGTAGAATGCCAGGGAAATTACTGTCTTCACTCTTACTTATAACCAGATTATGGACAAACTGGCACTCCTGCAAAGAGAAATGAATTTTCAAATTCTATATGAGGACGAACCTGCTCCAATTCTCGTAAGTATTGGGCACATTTCTGGACAATTGGTTCGTAGACACAATCCAAATTAGTTTCTTTATCAACAACAAAACACAGATTAAACATGAGCTTTTCTCTTTCATACATTTGAGATTCTGAAATCTGATGTTTATACCAAACAGGAGCTTCGAAACGTACGTATCATGATTGGATAACCAATTACATTGTATTCGACTAAGTTAATTTTGATTAGTTTGTTTAGTAACTCCTTTTTTGGAATAATAGCGGGTGAAAAGGATAAAAACTTCTTGTCAGTAACAACTTCTGCAGGTACCTGAAGAGCCTCATATACGAAACGAAATCCAATGCCACTCACTTGAAATTTTATCTTAGGCCCATAATAGTTATCAAAAACAGCAAAAAATATAGATTTTAGTTTAGGAACATCAGCTAACTTGAATTGCTCAAAGACCACACCCCTGAAACATTCATTCACACTGTTGACAAGTTTCTTCACTCACTCATTAAATACGGTATACGAAGAATCATCTGAGTGCAGAGAGCTTGTCGAAACGGAAGCTGGTCTTACACCAGACATCTACAATGAATAGATAACGCCAACAGTTATAACCCACCTTAATCACGGGCGAACTTGCCACGTGGGTTGAAAAATAAAAACAAGTGTCCCGCGAACAAGCCGGCTAAAAAGCCAATGAAGCTGCCGATCAGATTAGGATATGGATATCTCTGTTTTGCAAATACTATATAGCACTTAATCAACACGAACCTGCCAATCCTGGTCCCAATCAAGAGGAATAACGAAGGCACCCAACCAGCAGCCTAGAAGAGTGGTACCAACAGTGAACTTGCAACGAACCACACGATTGCTGCACTTCCTGAAAGAATTTTCTAGTCTCTTACATTTGTATCATACTACTAACGATAATGGCTTGACTATATCAGCTATAGTGACCTCTCTATCGAATGTTAAACAAACTGGGACTGTAGTTAGGAAGACTAAAACAGTTGCGAGGCGGAAAGACGCCTTGAAAGATATGAGTTAAAGGAAATCTTCTCCAGAACTTACGTGGATATCGGATAAAAGTGGTGCACCGAAGAGAACTAATAGGGAGTAATATATGACATATAGGGCTAGGAGCAATCGGAATATGTGTAGAGTGCCAAGCATAAAACCTGAAAATTTTAATAGGAAGTTCTGAACTGAACGGTAGGATAAGTACGAATTGTTTTAAACCAAACTTCGGATGAGAAATAATTGAAGAGTTAATAAAAATCTATTGAGAACAACAACAAATAAAACAATAATGACCAACAACAAAACAACAATTGGAACCGTAACACGCCTAATATATTTACAGCTTTAGGTTGAATTCGGGCATTTCGAATATGGGTGTTCTAGTATTTAAGTTAATAGGTTTCTCAGTTTTGTGAAGGAGCTTGAATAATCCTGTACCGATCGTTATTGGGGTTCCTAATATAATACACTCCGACACACCATGAATCTGTAATTTAGAAAATAATATAAAGCTCTTATATACTCTGTCACCTGGTCTCTTTGAGAGAAGAATGCAGCTTCGAACAAGTGATCCATAGTTTTCTCAAAAGAGGCTAACAAAAGAACTGAATCTTTCATTTTGACTAAACCATTTCGAGTAATTCCAAGAACCTCTCCTCTGTGATAAAAGAATCAACTGATTAATTAGCAACAGACAAACCTATATGTCATAATGTCGGCTAATAACATGACATGTCGTCTATCTAAACCGATTCCGTGAGCTTTCATCGTTTCAATAATCTCCTCTATTATGCAAGTTCGTGCGGCTTCAATTCCAAGCACCTTAAACAGTTCACTGTTAACAGGCAAAGAAGGAATTAAGATGAACCTCAGCAACAACCAAAGCGTTATTGAATTTAGTTTCTTTTCCATAAATTCCCATAGTGGATAGAACTGATAGAAAATCTGTTCCTTCGACTAACAAGCTGAAATGATCCCCTCGTTTTTCATCAGCGTGAATCACACATCTTGTAACGTTGGGGATTCCTGGGATTGCAATTTAAGAAACAACAGATGAACAAAATGTGATACCTTTGACGACGACTTTATTAAGATTGTACTTCAAATACTGCATTGTCATTGTTTTACTGAGCTTGGAGTTGGCTGGAGGATGTATAACCATCATTGTTTTACCGTGTATAGATATCTGCAATGGGGAAATTGTATGCTTTGACAACTGCAATCGTATACCTGAGCTGGTTTGATTGGAACCAAACTTTTTGTAGTAACTATCGCATGGCCAATAGAAGACATGCTGACCTGAAGTCATTAGATGTATCTAATCATCAAAAATTGGGCTTTTACCTCTAACTGTAGCAAACGTATACGTTTTGCGTTCAGTTTAATTAAAATGAAATGACTATCTGGTAAATACACTTCTTCGATGTAGTCACAAATTTCTCCTTGAAAAATAACAACGCTATTATGTACTCGAGCATAAGAACAAACCTAGTGTAGTTTTTTCTATTCTTGCTTTAACTCTTCTAGCTAACTTTTCGTTTTTAGGATCCGTGATTTTTGCTGTGATAATGGGAGTAGAAATCTGTGAAAATTTAACTTTTCAACGAAATTGAAAGACAATCAAACCAGCTTCACAGCGTTGATGATTTCTTTGATGCGAGGTACTCCCTGTGTGATGTTCATAGAAGCAACACCAGCAAAATGGAAAGTTTTCAGTGTCATTTGCGTGGATGGTTCTCCGATACTAGTTGCCGCAATGGCACCTACAGCAGTTCCAGGTTCTGTTACTGCCCTTCTAAGCTTTTGATCACAAAGCTCAATGAAAGCTATAGCTTGAGAGTGCGATATACAATGCGCTTGGAGTTGAATTTTTCTGGAAATGATTCATTCGAGAATTTAAATTGATGAAATCCCAACCTGTAGCTTTCTAGCTTCAAACATTCGTAACACCTTCCCTTCAGAGAGCCGCTGGAAAGAATTAGTCATCCAAATAATTTGCATTTTCTTACTTAATATGCTCTGGGCAAAGCTTTGGTGCATCATAATACTGCTCGTTCTTGTTCAACAGATCTGTCAGATAATCTTCCAGCTGTTTCCGGAAGAAGCTGTGATCTTTTTTCAATCTTGACTCTATTGTAGTTGCAATCAAAACCTACAAGAGAAAAAAGGTCAACCATTGTTTCAAATGAAGTCTCACCCTCATGTCAGCAAGACTAAGTTCTTCGCCTTGGAGACATGGCTGTGTGTTTTTGATATGCTCTAATATATGATCAAAGTCAACAACGCTTCCATCTTTAGCCTCCATCACAGACGGATCTGAGAAAAAAAATTGTTAGACAAAAATATAATACCAGAAAGTAGAGTTCAACCGATCGAGTTGTTTTGAGCGAACAAAATGAAGCATGAACGCTTCCAAATTTTACGTGAAACTCACGTGGAGCACTATGCTGATTTTTCAGTAAGTGTCAATGCGTGAATTTTCCGTGGCGTATCAATTCAAATTTGAACTTCATTTCTAACGTAGAAAGCAGAAATTGGAACTTACCCAAACCATCCTCTCCGAAAACGAACTCAACAATATCTCCTACAGATGACCTAACGGTGCCATCATAGTTCGCACATAAATCCTATGAAAAAAAACTAGTACGGAATAAGTATGATAATACTACCTCAAGACACTTCACCAATCTTCTCTGCATGTAACCAGTCTCAGCAGTTTTTACAGCAGTATCGACAAGACCCTCACGACCTCAACACTCATTCTTTGATTTGTTTAGGTGAAAATGAAATACCTCCCATTGTATGGAAAAAGAACTCGGTTGGGGTAAGACCTGAGTAGAAACTGTTTGCAACAAAACCTTTAGCGTCCGGGGTTTTCTGTTTTTTTTCGAAATGTGGCAGTGAACGCTCCTAGAAAGAAAACGTGAATCCTTGGAAAAGTTACAGAAACAGTACATCGAAGCCATCAGGAGGACGATGGCCAGATATGGCCTGTTGCCCTACGCATGCAATCATTTGAGAAATATTAATGAAAGATCCTTTTGAACCACAGACAGCCATAATTAATGGAGCATTATGTCTGGAAACAATCGGGTTTAAGGAGGCAAACGAACTCTAAGTCTAATTACTTGGAAAGGTTACGAAGACAAACTTGACCAGCATGGTCACGAATAGAAGAAAGTTCCTTCAAAATCAATGCCTCTAAGGTTTCTTCATCTGTACAACCAGGTTGAGCTTTCAGTTTTCCTGATTTCATCTGATCAATGAACTCGTTACACTGTCGGTATCCTGAACTTTAAACAATGCTTGGTTCTAAGAAAACTTCTAACCTTCCGTAACAAGTTGTCCTTTCTCTTCGAGAAGCTGTGGGCCTGGTCTTACATCTCCGATACCAATTGAGAACCCACGATTTGAAAGGAACACAGGAGCCATTCGACCTAACCTCCACCTAAATAACGTTTTTCGGTTCTGGACATCTCCAACACTGAACGCACATTGCATCTACAGCAGCATCTTCTCCAAAATCACGTAGCAACATATAGAAGATATTACTCTTGGAACCAGAACCTAACAAATTTTTATCCAGAACTCCAGCCAAAAGGACACTGTTACGGATAATCACATATGAATCCTAAACTGGTCGATGCAATAACTATGACTTGTACAACAAACCTTGACACAGAACTCTTGGTTGCTAGTATAACTCTTGTTTTTGGTGCTCAAGTTGAGCTTTATATTAGAGTCACAGTCGGGACGGATAACCAGCTCAATCAGCTACAACAGAAATAAGCTAATTCATGAAGAGAACTTATTACCTGTTTGCCTGTCCAAAGCTCCACTGGTTTTCTCATCGCTGGAGGGGGTATACGGATTCTCTTTTGTGTCTTCGATTGAGGATCAATAATGGCTGCAGCAAATCGATGAACCTTAAAGAATATTCTTTGAAAAGTACAACATGGAGAACACGGACTTCACTCCTAGTAATGAAAGTGTCCTTGTGCGTGAGCAGATAACCTCCAGTAATGAAATCCTGCAATGTACAATTTGCTGAGGAAAAACGTTGATCAAATACCTGAATAGCCGCAATCAAGGGTTCACCGGATCTAGGTGTTATCAAATTACTTTTCACACTCATCAAAAGGTTTGCTTCGGCTTTTGCCTCGTAAGTCTGTGGTACGTGGAGATTCATTTCGTCTCCATCAAAATCAGCATTGTAAGGAGTACAAGCACATTCGTTAAACCTTGAAAACAACATAAACACAGCCACCAGTACAAACTACCTGAATGTACGACCAGGAACAATCTTAGCTCGATGACTCATAATGGAGATTTTGTGCAATGATGGTTGCCGATTGAACAGAACAACATCATTATCGTCTAAATGCCTTTCCAGAATATCTCCCATCTTTAAATTTTTGGCCAACTCTTCTCTTCTACCGTACCTAAACACGATATTGACGGTTGTACTTGGTCGAGCTTATCACTTAAGTAAACGCTTATTTCCTGTCTTCTTCTCAATGAGGTAGTTAGCTCCTGGGTGGACATCACTTCCATTTATGATCAACTTTTGCATACGCTCAATGTTGTACTGGTTCACCACTTCAGGAAAAGTTAAAATCTTTGCAACGTGAATAGGGACGCCAACTTGATCGATTCGAAGATTTGGATCAGGAGATATAACCTAAACTCAAGATTACATCGAATGATCAATGCATGGTACTCACAGTTCTTCCTGAGAAATCAACACGTTTACCAGAGAGATTTCCTCTGAATCTTCCCTGCTTTCCTTTCAAACGTTGGGTGAACCCTCTAATTACCTGGAAACGAGTTGGATGAGTTGATGATGGTTTTGCTTAACTAACCTTCTTCGGTTGCAGATCAGGGGGGAGCCCTGACAACTCACTGTTGATGTACAAAGCGCATTGAATCTGAATACAAATATATTCATGGATGAAAGAAGAGTTTAAAACCTGCAAATGTTCCCATGTTTCGTTTACAGTTTTCGCTGGAGCTCCATCTCTTTTATGCTTTCGCAGCACATCATTGATCAACATAATCTCCGAAAGCTTCATTGTAATGTCATCTTCGGTTGTTCCAGATTTAACTTCTGCAAAACCAAACAAACCATTTTTTACTAAAAATACAATAAAATTTCACCTGAAACAACAGAGGGACGAATGCAAAGAGGAGGAACAGCCATTCTCGTTAAGAGTAAATCGCTAGGATGCTTCACATCTCCGGAACGGACCATGATAATACAGACATCCTTCAACACATTTAGAAGATGCAAAAAAAGGGAAACTCACTTCTTCTCTTATGGAACGGAACAGTTTTTGAACCATTAATGGGTTAAGCAATGTAAATTTAGTTTTCGGTAATAAACCTTCCAACTCGGCGTTAGTTTCACAAGCAGTTTGAAAATGAGATAACTTAATGCAAGAAGAATATATAAAAACGTTTTCATCGAGCTCACCTTTTCTTGATTCATAGTATAACCATGAGCAATTTTCAAAACACCTCCAACGGCTTTCTTAACAACTCCTGGAAACGGTCAATTTCGTGAAAATTGAAGTTCAAACTTGCATACCGTTTTTGAAAGCGCAGTTATCACATAGGGTGTTCTTCTTACAAACGGCGACCATTTTTTTGTGGAGAGCTTTTCTCTTCAGGTAATCAAGATTAGGATTACCTATTTGCTTCCGAAAAAAAGCTTTTTGATCTGGACTCAGCAGAATCGAGGAGCACTCCTAAAGTCAGTGTCAAAGGTACAGAGAAACTAACTTCGCACGAACCTTGCAAATACATTGTAAAACTTGGATAGTTAACTTGAAGAAGCCGACATGAAACACTGGGAAGTCTAGATCGATGAAACCGAAGTGTCCCACACAATCGCTTAGATTTTGTCCACAGGTTGAACAGTTCGTGGCTTTAGATGAGGTACCCTGGAGAAGCATAATTGGAATTCAAGAAGAGGAATCCTTACCAATCGATTATCTAATGGTCCATAAGGAGCAGGTAGCCATTTACCAGGAGCTTCTTCATATAACTTGTTGTTTAAAACAGGAATATGCGCAACTTGGCGCATAAACTCTGCATCTCCAGCGGCAAATTGAACCCCAACGCTTAAAGGAATCAGATAGAAAATCGAAAATTCATAACCACATACACTTTCCTGGCTAAGTCTGCTTTCCTATATTGCTCCTTACCCATCTATATAAAGCCTGTAATTGTTTCTATTAGTAAAAGCTTTGATTTCGTCTTTTCAAGGCTAACTAATGTCTTCAACGCGTGCGACGGAAAATGCTTTACGCACTCTGCGTATTATCGTTACCGTATACCCCGAAGAGAGTAAAACTGCTCAAAAGGTTTCAAATCATTATGTAAATTACGGCAGCGAAGTTTACATTTTCATAAAAAGATTGAAAGTTCCGGGAATGTGCTGAATAACGAGCATTCGAATTTTGGGATTTCAAAATTGGCTAGGTTAAGTAAAGGTTTTACTTTTTTGGTTTATCGTGTGTTCTCTGTATTTATATAGGTATTTAAACGAGGTTCAAACTTAAAAGTTTGACCATTGTCTTAAAGAATGCGAGCATTTGCGTTGCCAAGCCGATAGACAGACGCTTGCATTTCTCCTCATTCTTTCTGCTGCAGATGTGTAGAGCGGTTGCATTCAATTTCTGACAGCAGATCAATAGCTCCTGCTTTCCGAGATGCTTTTTTCTTGGTTCTTAAAGTTTCCCAACTGTATCGTAGAACTTTTCCGATTCTACCAGAACCATTTGTGACAAATGTCAGTCCGATTTATTGTTCATTTCGATGTTTTTATTTCGAAAAAAAGCTGTCTATTTATGAAAAATCTTGGCAAATACAGATCGGTGCTTAAGGATAGAGTTAGACAAATACAAATGTCATTGTTATTCTATTCACAAGCAGATCCATTTTACTCTTCTTCTAATTTTCTCGCTCGCCTAGACACTCCAACTTGCGAACTCTAGATAAGTTTCCTTAACATTTGTTTCTGGAATAGTATACGTCCCGAAATTCTATTCCAACTGCTACTAAGTGCCTTGGTCATTCCGAAATTCATACGCGAGTCATCATCAATAGTCTGCAAATGCATTTATGCCGCCCAACATTATCGTGTTTTATTTCTTAAAAACTTTCAAGTATCAGATGTAATGTTTAGGTTTTCCTAGTTTCTAAGCCATCAATTTCTTGGGCTTATTGTGGCAAAACCTTCCTCAACATTTAGTTAAGCCCTTCATCATCAGAGTTTTGTCTTGTCCTTTCAAATGCTTGAAGGGCTACTCGTTCTTTTCGGGGTGTCCTCCTGCTTGTTTATCACAAGATGCAGCCTCCAGCTTGCTGGCTTAAAGCTTTGCATATATTCTGAGGGTTGTGCGGTTGTGTTAGCTGCCAGCAGCCGCGCGGATATCGATCGCTCGCATTCGGTCTGTGCTTGCGAGCAACCTTTTAGTCGAACTTAAATGGCTTTTTTCCTTCGAATGTGCGTCGTTCTTCTTGTACAACTGCAAATTTTAAGTATTTTCGTCCGGATAAACTTCACCTTTCTTCCTCCCTTCTCGTTTTCTTATTCTTCTCTCTATTCACGTTCTATTCACTTTTCACAGCTACATGATGTTCTATAATTTCTTCTAACAATTTTCTTGAGCATGTTCAAAGCCTTTTCAGCTAATATTGAATCGATCCGATTTCGCTTCTGTTTATTTTCTAGCTTTGTTCTGCCTCCGCGTTTCGTCTATACAAATTTGCTGCCTGCGAGCTCTGCGCCTAGTTATTCGTTCAGAATTGTAAAACATTAACCTCACCTTCTCATTACTTATAACAATTAGTTTTCCGTTATCTCGGGTTTCCTTATTCTCATCATTCAAATATTACTTTCAGATGGTTGATCTTAAGCAGCAACTCAACGTTATTGATTACTTCGGAGTTGTTGCCGTTTGGCTTTGCTTCTTCTCCATCATCTTCATTATTTCCGTCACCTGCATTCTCTGGTGCTGTGTTAGCAAAGATGACGATCAAACCGTTTTCGCTAAAGTGAGTAACAAGGATTTTGCATTTATTAGATAACGAGTCACTTACACAACGATACGAGCTTGTGTACTTAGCTCGAATAAATCATGTCTGCCTGCTTTCTATTCAATTGACTCAATTTCAGTTTGGGATGGGACCTCGTCAAAGGACGGCGAACCAGAAGTACGCTGCTCAAGTTGAGAAAGCCGAATGAAGTGTTGCTTCCCCCTTTACGCATATATAACCTTAGGTGACAGTCGTTTATGGTGTGGCGCTTTCATTTGAGCATAATTTTCTTTCTGTTCCCCGAGTACAACGTGTTCTCTTTTTCCAGGAAGTTAATTGGTGAAGATGCCTGAAAATATTCGTTCACTGCTCAACTGCCTAGAATCTGCACTGTAGTGGCCTTCACCATTTGTTGTATTAACTTTTCTGAAAAACTTTTGCGATCCTCATCTTTGAATTAATCGAAGCATGTTTTTTTTTAGCCTAAAAGTTGAAATTTTGTAAAACAAAATCATTCCTTAGTATTAGTTCAATAAAGTTCTATAAATATGTTTAGTATCACAGTTCAATGAGCAACAGGCAACAACTTGTATGAGTGTTAGATAAATTAAACGGACTAGAAGAAACCGTGCGTGAATTATAACTCCAAGTACATGTAAAATGAACTTAAAATACCCGTTTTGGTAATGAAATTGTGCTACGACACAATGAGGGATAAGAATCGGAATGGTTCTAAGTTTACGATTAGCTGCTTCACAGATATTTCATCAGCTGTATCATCTGTGCCACTTAAGTTTGACTTTTTCACTTTCCTCACTCCAATGCGTTCCAGAAATTGTCGCAGAGCAGTCTATAACCAAAAATTTCATTATTTTTAATCCCAGAAAATAAACCGTTGATTGTACACCACATTCAGCTGGTGTAGCAAATCCTTCGGCTAGTCCATTGCGGAAAATTGTCAACAACTTTTTTCCCAGTCCAATATCACGAATAGTTAGCAGCTGGTAGTCGCATGGAAGTAATTCAAAGTCATTCACAACATCAAATGGCTTTTCTGAATGAAACGAAAAAAAGTGTCGTGACATGAAAAGAAAATGGCCCCAGAAAGAAGAAGAAGAGAAACGAACCAATTGAAAGGGTAGTGATGGGAGGATATAGCAAATTTTGAACGGAGAGTAGTCCAGCAGGAGAATGAGCTGTATAATGCGAACCTGCATTGGAATTGACCTAAAATACAGAATCAACTCATGATAACCTAGAAATGAGTACTTCTTTTTTAATATAATCCTCAAATAGGAGTGAAAATTGCATGTCAACAGGATAGAGATCGAGAGGTAACGAATCTGCTTCACTGCCTAATCCTTTTCCATCGTCTTGATTGAGTATACGATCTGAACATTAGTATGCTATTATAATCTGGGTAACTGAAAACGGACCGATCATTATTTCCATTCCGTTATTCAGCGGCATCACTCCGTGTTCAACATTGGATGCAACTGTTAATCTTTGAGCTCTGCAAGAATGATTCTCAAAGTTGAACAAATGTTAAATGTGATACCCATCGTCAAGAACTGCCGCTGTTGGCATAGGGTAGTAGTTAGCCTGTACAGACAACGTACTATAGTTGGTTCTTCTCATCAGCTAATAACGAACCAATATAATTGTGAATTATGCAACTAAGAAACCTGCATTCCAACACTGTCGGAGTAGAATTTACTGTTCTCCCAGTTCGTTTCTATTCTCATTGCAACTTCCTGATTACGTAAATGCTTGATGTCCATACGTATATGATACTCTAGCTGAGGTGTCATCGAGCCTGATATCAAAATACGTAAGCATGTTAGATAATTATAAAACCTGAAAACTCTTTGGCGACAATACGCTTATATAACTCCTTCGAGAAAAGATGAACAGATTGTTGAATTGCTCCTTTGACAAGTAGTTTGGGCATTGGTGTATTGAGGAAATTCTTAATAAATGGGAATAAAAGTAAGTCATAGAATGAAACACTTACTTTAGGTGGACCATTAACCCTCATCAAATAAGCACCACCATGACTGTCATACGAGACAAAGCTTGTATTGAATTTTTGCTCAAATTTTCCTATCAGTTCAACACTCTAAAAAACAAAACTGTTCACCAAAGTCTCGGAACTCAATAATACCTTAACAAGTCCCGTTACCACGTCATGGCTTGTTTTAATGTGTCGAGTATTCAAATGAAACTGTTCTTCTAGGATTTCTGTTAATGTAAATATTCTAAAAAAGATAATGATTAGAACATCATTGCTCCTGTCACCTACTTAGGTAGAGCTATTTTCAATTTACTAACATGAGCACCAGTTGTGAGTACTTGAGCAATCTGTGTCGAGCCAGAGTTTCTATCATGAGTAAGCTTGAAAGAAGCTGTGGCGAAAGAATCAATTTCAACAGGGAAAGTAAGCTAAATTATCTGACTGAAGTATTGAAATGAAACTTATAAAATACCAGAAAACTTTTCTGCGCTATTTCACCGAGATAAACAAAAGGTTCAATTTGAGCTGGTACAGCTTTGCCATTATATTCTACTCTAACAAATGGAACGTCCACACGCACAGATACGGTGTCTTGTAGTTTGTATGGTAAAGAGTTGTACAGTACAACAAAACTGAAATGAGCAAGAATGAGGATAAAGATGTTTCTCACAAACCCATTCTCTACTTTACTCATTGAGAGCGAAACTTTGGTTTGCGTATTACGGAAGGAATTTGGAAACTGTGCCTGGAAATAAAATCTCTTTGAACAGTAAAAGAAAAGAATACATACCAGTGTTACTACAGAACCAACTGCATGTTCTAGGCAGCCTTCTAAGACACTCTTGGTAAGGTTTAAACCTTCTTGCAATAGTTGAGAATAGTTTTCCATCACATGTTGCTTGCTTGTTCCTTAAAACATACCTATTAATGGAAAGTAGTCAGAATGAACAGGAACAACCGCTTCTCGCGAATTGTAAAACAAAAATAACTTATACTCACGTAAAACGTTTTACGTGAACAATATTACGTGAAATTATTTACGTGAAACTATTCACCTAAAATTATTCACGTGAAACTGTTTACGTGAGACTGTTTACGTGAGATTGTTTTCGAAAAAAAACTACAAATGAACAGTTGGCGGATAGAACACACAAAAAAATGAAAAGGCAGACAAACCTGTGATAGCATCATGATGCTGGAAAAGGGAAAGAGTTCTTCGAGCTACTTGTAGTGAACTATATGACGACTTAGCGAGATCTGGTTTAAGTTTCTTTTCGAAGTTAGCCATTGCAATATCCGCAGCTCTAATTAAACTCTGAAACAGGACGTGTGCAACGTTTCTAATGAAAGTGATATACATGTAATAGTCGTCCCTGTCTCTTATAGAATGGTCTTGTTGTAAAATAACCCGTCCATTGATCTCCTAATGCACATCTTGAATTGAATTGTGAATATAAATATGTTTTAGATGAGCAAAGTAACATACTGATATGGGAAGAAATCTCCAGTTAGAACAGCTGGAGTTTTGCTATTGGTTGAATACCAGTTTTCTAAACTTTCGAAGTACTCGGAAAACGTTCCAAATCTGAAAAAGATATTTTGTGATCACACTTCATGAAACCTACTTTATCTCCACATTATGGTTTTTATTAATTTCCTCGAAAAGAGGAAGGAAATTATCATGATGTTGGTGCCATTCCTCAATCATATCAAATCGAAAGTCGTCTCCATGCATCATCAGCAGCACAGGAGCTTCATACATTTCGGACATTTTTTTCAATTGATCAACAAGCGTTTTTGCTCTGAATAACAAGCATTCTTCTTTTCGTAAATTGAGCATTGATTACTTCTTGGCAACGTTCGAGTTTGTAATCGGCTCAGGCCGTCCACCTGGACAGTACCAGTGAGTCATCCTTTTGAAATCGAATTCGCAACATCTGCAAGAAGATAATAATATGCTTCTACTTTTTCAATTATACCTCGAAGGATCAGGACCACATGAATTTAAGATATCATAATGAGTGTAAGGTAGGACATGAGTGAGAACATCCATTTCACCTTGCTTGTCTGAGAAAAGAGGATAAACTAGTGTATCTTATTGGTGCTTACCGAAGTATTGCCTCCAGTTGAACGGAATGGCCCGATTACTTTGCAACTTTCTCTTCAAACTGTGATGAATTCTGTTGATGACGTTACGTTTTATGCCTAGAAGAGAAAGGAACTGCTGAGCTTATCTTTGTAATAACCAACCTGCTTCACGAAATAGGTAAGGTACTGAATTACTATAACCGAAAGGGTCATTGGACCAAATGACAGTTGGTTGTATATCTGAAAAAGAAGAAATAAATTGATGCTGAGTGGAGATTTAGTTTACCAAATTCGTTACGCAGGAATTGCTGTCCTTCTACTATATTATCGACGGAGACAGGAAAGTAAGCGTTAGCCTCATCAGTCATGACCCATGAACCAGAAGCCATTTCCAAACGTCCATCTTGAACTAATCTGGAACAGTAAAACGCTTGATTTGAAATTTCTATGAGACAAACTTCCTAACATCCGTTTTGACGGTAATATTCTGAAGGTTCCACCATCTCTCGAAGAAAACAAACTCAGCCCACATGAAAGTCATTTTTGGATTTTTCGTCATGAAGTTATGCATGTTCGTCAAGATCTTATTAGTGTCATCAGAGTATGAGTCGAACGTACGAAGCCATCCTTAACAAGAAATAAAGACAACAGTTTTGCCATTGTTACCAGGATCAACGTGTGTGAATGGTAGGAGGAAGACTTTCAATTTTTCATGTGAATGATCTCTCGGTTTGTGATTTTCGGAACCATGTTGGGAAACCAAAACGCTCTTATACAAATCCGCTGTCTGAAGCTGCTTGTAAAACAGAAACCTCAAGATGAAAACTCACATCGAATTCGCCAACATATTCTTGAATTGAAGGATACCCTAATGATTTACCGGCCGGCGCTTGAGCAATGTTGATAATTTTCGATTCATACGTTGTTGGAGAATACTAAATGAAACATGATTAGGAGATAGTATTCACTCAACAGGAGTACTTGTTTTCCTTTGTTATAGGCTAATGAGGCTGTTAAGGTGAGCGCGATAAGGAAAGTTAAGAGGTATCGAAGCCTTCGTCTGATTTGGCCTACATAACGGACCAAACTCATTAGTTCACCTGAGCAAATTTATAAAAAAGGGAAAAAAAGATGAAAACGGGCGATAAAAGGGCGTGTAGGAAGGAAAAATAGGAATGTTTTATCAGTTTTCAACGTCATTAACTATAAAGAAAAAGTATATAGATAGCGAACACTTTGCCAACCTTATAGAGTCAGAGACTCATGCAAATAATAACAAAACTCAGCAAATCACCGCTTTGCCAATAATCGATGTTTGAAATCTTTTTTTCTGCTTGTATTAGTTGGCTATGCAGACAGAAAAAGCCATTTGAAAGAGATGAAGCAGTTCGCGCTGAGCAAACACGTTGAAAATTGTGAAAAGAGGTAGGAAACTGCTCTTAATGAGTTCGGAAAATCTGTCGAATATGACTGTTTAAGGAAAACTGCCGGTCGGACGGTGCCGGAAAACGGAGAATCTGTTTGACCTATCGTGATGATGTTTGAACAAACGCACCGGCTGATAGCTGAGACGAGCCTTAAGCTGATCAAAGTTGAATATTGTAATAGCACAAGTCATGTTCGGGCATCAGAGAAGGTTAGCCAGTGTTTTACTGCAAATTGCAGAGAGATTGATGTTTACGTGCACTCGTAAACCGGCTTACTTACAGTGATTTTTATAAAAACTGTTCGAACAAAGAGCGAAAGATGAATTTATTAATTCAACCAAGTAAAACGAAAACAGTTTGAACTGGGCTAGACAAACAGTTCAAAAGTTCATCAAGGGCAAATCTACTACAAACTTCAAAGAATTAGAGAATTCAGAATTGATGAAACTCTGTGGGATGAAGGAGATGTGAATGTGGGCAAAAGAGGGAAGAGGAAATCAGATTTTTCCGATTAAAAAGCAAAGGAAAACAGCTCCAAATTGCTTCAGAATTTCAAATTGAAAGAAGAATTGATAAGAGTGTTCACGTTTGAACAAACAGCATACTTATCAGTTGGTTAAATTTAGGATGCCTTATTTGCATAATGTCGTATATGGTAAGGTTATGTGAAGCATGGATAGGGAAGGACGACGACGGAAGAAAAGATAACTGAGAGGGAGAGTAGAGAAGAGTAAGAGAGAGAGAGAAAAAGAGAGACATAATTTGAGCTAATAAGGAAAGAATTAATGTGTTATGTCATTTGGGGGATAGGATTTGATAAGCTGAGAATGACAAAGAACATTCTGAAGCTGGAATAAACGAGTTTTCAAACAATTTAACAATCAATAATAAACTAATTGTTGAGTATCACCGTTTGGCAGATAAACCATATACTAATGATTGCTATTGAAGTACAAAAACATATCATAACCATGGTGATAATCACATGCTTCAAAACAAACAATCGACAAGATCGACTGTTTTCCATCGTGACACATCAGTTTCACTTGCCATCATACCTTATTTGGCCGTTTAAAATTCATAATAAAAAAACGACTCTTTCTCTCTTCTCTCCATCTCTCTCTTTCTCATTCAAATACGGGAATTTCAATGCAAACTGAAAATTAAAAGAACAAACACCCATTTTGTCTCTTTTTGTTGTGGAATCGTTCCTTGTGTAAGTTCAGTTGGAGAAGACAGCAGCAGAGTGGAGAGAAGAGAAGGAACGAACGCTTGTTTATAAAATTAAAGAATTCGCTTTTGAAGACAACAGATGTGTTTGATTGCAAAACATCTGCAACTTGGAACGTTTTTGTTGAGCAAGATGCCCAATATATTAGGAAGTACGTTGGGTCTATTCCGATAAAATCTCGGATAAACTTGTATAAAATAAAGAGAAGAATAGAGGGAGGCAGAGAGAGAGAGAGGGTGGATGCAAGAGAGGAAGAGAAAGTTTGTTCATTGGCTCATACAAACACATACATACACACACAGAGACAGATATCCCAATGGAATATTCATATAAACAATGGCTTGACTAGTCAAAAGTATTAAATGTTAGAAGGGAATGTTCTAATTAAGATTAAAGCCTTTGAAGGAAGTCTTGCAAGTTCTAATTCATTCCTGTAAACTGAGAAGAATTGGTTACAAGTCCATATAAGGCAAGTGTTGAATGTCTATTGAAGGAAGAATATCGAGATCGCGCAAGGGTCAACATATAATTGAAGTTGGATGTACCTTTTTAATCCTTCAATAAGAGAGGAGAAAAGTAAATTGCGAAGTAGAACACAAATTTCTAATGCGGTTTCTATGAAGGCAGGTGTAATAGCCATACTGAGACATACTAATCAGCATGAGCAAACGAGTTAAAAAGGAATGGAACATAGAATGCCAATATTGTCAGTTGCTATAGAGCCACACGCCGGAAGGATTTACATGAAACTCTTGTTATTACGGATATTAATCCAGAAGCGTCCACGCTCTTCATGATTTTCGCTTTTCATGCAACAGTTATTGGATATTGACAAGAATCTGTAGTAGCGCGCTGGGCTGAATATTAAAAGACGACTCACCTATGAGGTTCGTGACTATCTGCGGGCTCCCATTGAAAGTTGAAAATAGTCGAGTCATCATAGGGTCCATTGGGATTTCTAGAAAACCAAATAAATTCTCCCAGCAACTTGTCATTTACCCAAATTTCACAAAATTGGTCCACATGCGTGTCACAAGATCCACCATTTGCTGATCTTCTGTTGTGAATTTATAATTCATAAACGTAGGACTGCCAAAAGTGAAATCTAATTCAGCTCCATATGTGGCAGCTTAATTGTATGTATAAGCAATAAAATAATACTTCTGATTACCTCGAATTGAAGTTCGTAATGACATCAAGCCCAGACTATGGGGATTGAAGTAATCGAAGGAATAAATATAAACCTTGTTGTCCAGCATAATCATTTTCTCCGTAAATTCATAAATTGCATTGTTAATCAGGACATCGCTGTATAACTGAAATCTAATACGTGCCTTGTTATGAAGTATATGGAACTATACCTCGATGTATGCTTGTGATTCTTCGGCCCGACTGAATTCTTCATCTTCTTTCAAGTACAATTCTTTTGCCATTGTCCGAATGTCGTCGGCTTCCAAGAATACGTTGTTTGGAATTACGCGTGTGAGAATTTTGTCAATTCCTTTTTCATTAAATCTTGTTCTTCCAAATAAAGCTATAACATATCATGTTCAGAGCAAATTTTCAGGGAGTACCGAACAACAATCCTTCTTGAGCGCTCGCCCCCACAATAACTCTCCTGTTTGGAGCTTCCTTAAGCTACAATTTTTTTTAAAATGCGAATTCACATACTTTTCGTAATTCCGATATGGGTTTTGGCAAAAACTCCTCTGAAGTAAAACCTACAACAGGTCCAATCTTGAGACCAACTTCATCTGACTTCATCTTCAAATATATAAAATAGTAAGAAAAGGATTGAAAACTAACTTGGTGTAAGTTCTTCTCGCTCATAAAATTATGAGCTTGGCAATTCTGCAAGAATTCCAGTAAGCTGTCATCCGTGAAATTGAAAACTAAAAAGGAAGAAGTTCTTAGAAATGATACAATATCTTACTATCATCCACTTTAATGAATCCTTTCCTTTCTGCAAATATTCTACAGTAGTCTTTAACTCGTTGTCTATGTGGAAGAGAAAACTTGTTCTCAGCCGTACCACCAAGAAGACATAACTGCTGGAACAAATCTGTAATTATGCTAATTAGCAGTTGTTCTTTCCACGTCATTGCCACGTCAAGCGTTCATTTAACATTTCAAATTGGTGTCGAACGGTTGCATTCATTCGTTTCAATATTATATTTTTCCCAGGAACTATAATAACAACCTCGGGAATGCGGACTGATGGATAACAGATCAGCAGAAGCAGCTCCACTACCGTGACCGAAGAGAGTTACTTTGGTAGAATCCCCAGAGAAATTGTCTATATTTTTCTGAAGCATTGAAGTTTTATTCTAGAACTTTTCAAAAGAGAAACATTAATCCATTTCAGAGCCATCGTCAGATCCCATAAACCATAATTTCCTAGCAACTCCAAACCATCGTAGAAAAAACCTAACAATCCCAGACGATATTCAATGGTCACAACTACCACGTCATAACGACATATGAATCTTAAAATGTCAATATGAAATGAATCATCTGTTGAGACACCTACTTCGTTATGGAGGTCGGAGCAAATTTGGCTGATGAGCCATGAGCGAAACCTCCCCCGTGTAAGAAAACCAGAACAGGGTAGCCATTCGGAAATGCATCATGCTTGAGACTTGGAGAAAATACATTGAGGTAGAGACAATCTTCACTCTTCGGAACATTTATAATTAAATCTTCCCAATAATGGTTCGTTTGGACTGCCCGAGCAACGAATCGGGTACATTTACGAACACCGGCCCAACTCTCGCATGGCTCGGGATTCTGAAATCTTTATATAGAGGATGTGTAACTTCAGTAATCAAGTAACCTTCAATCGTAAATCATCAAGTGGTGGCTTGGCATAAGGTATACTCAGAAATACATTTGCACTTCTTTCATCCGAAATATTCAACTTAAAACCCTGAACTAAACCGTTTTCTGTTGATACCTAAGAATAGTGCGATTAGAGAGTGGCTCAGGAGAATGTAATACCTCATCTGTTAAAATCAGATTTTCTTCACAGTTTTTACAGAAGACAGATGTCGCAGTCCCCATAGGAAGTCTATACTGAGACACTTAAAGCCAGAATAAAACGCAAAACCAAGTGAATATGCCTCCTACTGTGCCAATTTGCCTACGTCGTCATTCTTCCACCCTGCCAGAAAGCTTGTATTCGAGAAACAGCCATGCTTTTGAAATAAAATCTTCTCCTTGCTGTATAGAACTCATTGAAACAATTGAATAGTAAAGACGCATTAGAAATAAACATCAATCAATAGTCATTTGTTTTGTTGTGCTCAGAAAAAATCAATAAATGAACTTTCTGTTGTTATTGAGCTCAATAGACAGCGGCCCTTGTTGCATCACATATTCATTTAAAGGCAGATGATTTCGGTGAGCGGTTGTACAGTGATATCGGTAATGGGGCTATATCCGCGAAAGTTTCCAAATGTTTGTTTTTGAATATATTTCATTGGTTCCTTTACATTCCCATGTAAACATTCAAAGTGGAAATGAGATGCCCATATAAAGATAGGATCGTTTGCGATTCATCGTTCATAGAATGAATGTAAGTTATGAAGAGTTTGTTTGATAACAGAGGTCAACCCCTTCCGAAATGCGTGAAAGAGGAAGTTTGAACTGTTCACTTGTAATGGTCAGTATTGTATCATTCTATCCTTACCCTTTTAAATCATCGTATGATTGGATTTAAATGTAATTAATCCAAAGAAGATAACTTTGCCTCGTCATTACGTATGAAACTTATCTTACTTAACTTTTTTTTCATTTAATTAAAACCATTGATTAGATGGATTATTAACTAATTTTGGAAAGGGAAGGTAAACCATTGTGCGTAAGGGGGAGTGTCAGTTGAAAAAACAATTTTTGAAAGCGATTCCGGTATTTGGGCGATCCAACTTATTCTCACCTTATTTCAACTGCATCTCTCAAATCGGTATTCGTCCTGTAGGCACAAAGGTCGGCTAAGAGTGAAAACAGCCAAAACGATGGCGAAAGAACCGGACATCATGAGAGCAGTGATGCATATAGCGAAGTGATATGCGTATTCTGCTTATACTATTATTCCTTTTTTGTATTTATTTTACATATTTACAATTATATTCTCTTATACACGAACTATTCTCTTTTCTCTAATCACGACGTTTATAACAAACATCTTTGTCTCAAACAACTAGCTTGGGCTTTTATTGGTTTTCATTCCCTTTCCATAATACTCCCCTACTCTTTTTGACCTGAACGAACTTTTCAGTCCAAAATCGTACTTCTCTCCCTCTACTCGCCATCAACCTAATCACATGTTACCTTACAGGTGAATTCCTGCTTTAATGGATGGAAACTAAACGTCTTTTATTTTTCACTTCTGGTAACTTATTTTTTTTCAACTTAAATTTTATAAAAGTCATTCAGTTCTTCTTCTGTCATACCTGTCATCTGCCGCCAACCAACTTGACAACCTCGAACTTGGTAATGCTCAGCATTTCAACTTGGATAAAGTTCGTCTTCGAGAACTTTGGCATACAGCTATGATTCGAGGGCTAATTAAGGTTATTACGCTTACTATTGAAACATTTCCCCATCAATTGGAAAAACGTTTTTCTTTCATAGCATCACATCTGAAATGAGGTCACTTATTAGCGATTTTCCACTTGAAAGAATTAAAAACTTAATTATTCTATATCATCAATCAGACAGTAATTCTAGTACTTTAGGCTAAAACTCGATCATATTTGGAAGAACTACCAGTTGTTGAACGTATTCTCTTCCAACAATGTGAAAATGATGCCAAAAACACAGTTGACTTAGCCAAATGTTCTTGGAAAGTTATAAAACTAAGAAGATTTCATCAACTGCATGTCAAAACTGACAGTCGGAAGAACGAAAATCGCAAGATAGAGAAACTCAACTTCTACAACACCAATGAAGTTAAACAGCCTCTGGTTTACTCGACTTCTCAAGTTAACACTAGTAACTACACTACCAACTACAAGATGAAAAGTATCAAATACGGTTTCCGCAATGGCAAACCCTTCAATCCAATAAGGTTATTCAAGCTCTTAGCCATTGTAAATTATAGTTTTCAGACCTCAAATCAGAAGATACAAAAATATTCCTCGTCCACGACGACAGTCCGATCCTATATCAGATGCTTGGGAACTATTTCTGAAAGAAGAGCGACACAAGATGAAACAACAGATGAAAGTTGACAAGAAAAGCCTGAACGTTACCACATTGCCTGCTTCTCTGGATAGAAACTTCTTGGGTTTACCACGAAAATTTAAGAAATCAAAAAGGAACAAGAGAAACCTCTTAGGTAAATTCTTCATTATTTCTTCAAAATGAATATCCTCCAGAGCCTGATCCTTTGAAGCCCATTGTTGCTGAGAAACAGACATCTAATGATATGGGCCTGTACTTGAACAAGCTATTCAGTAGCCAATCCTCTCTGAAGCTAAAGATAAACTTTTGATTTTCAGAGAAGTCTGCCACTCCAAACCTCAAGAAGCTACAAGTTCTCAAAGATCACTTTGAAAAAGTTGAGGAAATTAAAGAATACTATAAAACAATGAACGTTGAAAACAAAGAGTAAGCTTAGACCAATATCGTTCCACTGTAGAGCCTACCATTAAGCCTTTTCAAAAAACTAGGAATTCCTGTAGATAGTCAAGAGCCCCAACTTCAGGATAATGTGTTAGCTGCTGTAGAAGATTTGATGGGCATTTTGAATGATTTCTCGGTTCGGATATATCCTCATACATATATCAAATTGGTTATAGGCAACTAAAGGGTTGAAAACTCTCTCCATCATGTCGCCGAGACTATTCCCCATCTTTCCTGAAAAACGTTTTCAAACAAAACGTCGACTGCTATCACCAACTCTCCTGTCGTTTCACAAAGAAGGGTTTTTCTCTTTACCTGATGTTTTTGATGTAAACTGTAGAAAATGATGACACTTTACCAAACTTCCTTGCAGGTTCTTACTTCGGAGAAATCTTATCAACAAATGATGCTAGACCTGTTGATGGATTTAAGTGGCGCGGGAAAGGCATTAGATGTGAGTGTGATCTATGAACTTGTTTCTTTACTAAACTACTAGTTACAATTTATATTATCTCGTTCAATAATCGATATTGTTACCAAACTACTTTCAGCAAGTACTGTCGAAAATGTCACATGAAATCGAATATGTTTCGAATGTCCAATACCCTTTGCTCATGGAAATGAAAGAGCATGATCTCAATTGGACAAAGTAGCTGATCGTAAATATTATAATTTTAACTTGCTATTTGAAGAGCTCGCAAAACTTTCACAACAGAGCAGAAAATCGAATATGATAAACACGGCTACACATATCTCAACCCGCATCAATTGAATCTTGTTTACAATAACCCAAGATGTAAGTAACACGTGCCACGTATTTCACGTGAAAGTCTGCCGCTTGTACATTGAAATCACTTTTACTTCTTTTGTGTGCAGTGAGCGGTTGCTTCTATAATTCCAAGTTTTCTGACTTTTATAAATTATGATGTTATAGTTATGATCGATCATGCTCCCAACATCACTGAACTATCTGCTATGAATCGCACTGAGAAGGAGATGCGTATAGAAGAACTAATAAGAGAAATAGCCGAAATCGATAAAGAAGAGTCTAACGGATATCCACCCAACAGTTTGTTTCACATTTCTCTTAATCATTAAATGGAATAATTTCAAGGTAAGAGGGTAAAACGAGTTGTAGATGGTGTAAATACTACCGGCGTTTCATTCTTAACCTTACACCCTGCAGCTTTTTCAAACATCATCGGACAGGGAGTTGCTTTAGAAGCTGTAACACTGTCTCCCCATGCCTTCATCGGAGAGATTATGATGGGTGAAGCCCTGAATGTAAGTTTCATACTTTTTCATCGAGTTTACCGTTTGTGTATTTTCCAGCTTCACGTTTTATCACCTAGGGCTTTCATTGCCACTGTACTTTCACCTTCAGCTCTGATCGCTAGAATACTCTCACCCTCAGCTCTTAGAGCGGAAGTTCTGGCTCCCAGGGCTCTGACAGCTTGGGTACTTTCACCTGAAGCAATGGTATTTATCTATCACCTTTACCTATACTCTCCATTCTCCCTATTCAGATTGCGGAAGTTCTAACTCCACGATTTCTTGAACCACGTGTTCTTTCTCCTGAAGCTTTAGTGATTGATATTTTGAGTCCAGGTGAGAAATCAAGTATCTAGTTTTGCTCTATTCTTTTCCGCAACGATTGTGTTGACAGAAAAATGACAAGCAAACTCATTAATTGCTTGCGACTATTGTGTTTACCTCATAAAATGAGGTCATGAAATCTAGTCTGTTGTGATGGATATTATAGCTATATTTATGAAAATGAAACCGTTCCTCCTGAAAAAGAAGTCACTTACAGGCATATTATCTCCTCATATTCTTTCATCAGAAAGTATTGGAGTTATGGTCCTCAGTCCTAACATTCTTTCACCTCGAATAGCAAGTGAAGAACACTTGCTCGTTGAGGTAAGATTTAACTGAAGAGTATGTTATTCATATCTCAGGTTCTTTCCCCTCATATACTTGGAGGTCCCCACAACAAAGAGGAGAAAGAAACTAACATTCACGACAAGGAATCAAGCGCAGCTTCTTCCAGTCATGAAGCAGGTATACATTGTTAATCTGACCCTTCTGAATATATCCAATAGGTGGTGCTAATCACGGCGGACATCATCGAATGGGGCTTATAAGAGCAGTCCAAAAACTCAGATAAATCTCTCGAATTTTGATAGCCAAGCTATAATTTATTTCACTCGTGGTAAAACAAACGGTTGGTTGTCATGACAACAAGCATTCTAATAACATGACTCTATAAATGTTTCATTTTTTAAACATTAGTATGTTTGATACTTATTAAGAATAATAAATTATTAATTGTTATACCCATATCTTCTAATCATATACGATATCAAGTAAGGACTTATCTAAGCTGTTAGCGTTGACTAGCTTAGTTCGGGAACAATCGGGAAGACAGAATCTGCAAAGTAACAATTACATAAAGCAATATAACTGCACTTCACTTGGCTTTTCCACACACTGCTCTTTCGTCGCACCATTGCTTCGGACAACATTTGAATCTTGACCCGCATTCCTTATCTATGCCACATTCGTCATCGAATTTCCCTTAACAAAAAAAACTTCATTTGATCAAATAGCAAAATGTAACCAATGACACGTCCCTCCACGCGGATAGGTCTTCCTCGAACATTCTTTTCAGTGTACTCCATATAAAGACGTTGTGGCGTTGTTGAGATTGGAGCACGTCTATCAAAATAATTATTTGACTATTTGATCAACCTATAAACCTTCTTTCATTTAAACGGCCTCTCTGTACTACAGGGTCTTCCATATCATACCAAACACCAGCTTTTTGAACTTCATTCGAAGCGGCAGGAGTCGTTACTAATGCTTCCGTTGTGGTAGGCTCGTCATAATCGAAAAGATCTTCTGATCGGGGAATACCATCTCCTTTTCTATAGAAACATAATCTCGGGTATAAACTTGTTAAGTTACTTTTCAAATTGGTGTTGAATACGCTTCCTTTGTGCATTCATTGCTTTCATAAACTGTACATGACCTTCCAATTCCTAAAAAATCTTTTATTGGATAATGGTTCAAAGACACTTTAACCTCGGAAGTTGGCTTTGCACTCAAAGCTGGTGGCGGAGTAACCTCAATACCAGCGCCCTTCAATTTTTTCAACTGTGACGATATAGGGAACTCGAGTTCATTCAGCTCTGTTCTATATAAGAAACTAAACTGAGAATATCTTTTTCTTCAACTCACGCAGTTTCAACACCATGGGCTTTGGGACGTTCCTCTACTGTTTGCTTTCTTTTCTTTTTCAGTATGGGCTTGAGAATCTAGAGAATATCATATAAGTTGGTACGGCCTAGTACAGTCTGACCTCTGTTTTAGGAAGCTCAATGCTTTTCGTGAAAGCTTTTGTCATATCGGCTATCTGTTCTTCACTGAGTTTGAAAGTTCTCGTTATCTTATCGCTTCAAAGCATCAATATTTAATAATAATGAAAAGTTGGCTACCGTGACACTGATCCGATTGTGGGATTTGTCACACTTATTGGAGGCGATGTACTGGTTACAATATCCATCGGAGGAGGAGCGGGTGGTGAGCCAAAACTCTCCAAATCTCCATCGAAAACGCTTGATGGCACCAGCTCAGTCTTGGTTGTTTCTCCTAATACTTTGACAGTGTCTGTAGCCCAATCATGTTCTTCACAACATTCATTCTGCCAACCAACCTGGATGGAAAGGTGTGAAAGCAGTTGCATTTGGAGATAAGTTTTGGCTGGAAATTTCAAAAACATCTGTTGTAGGTGGGATTATTGTCGTTCGTTCAGTACGCAATTTCAGAGGGCTGGCTGTATCTTCACTAACGAAACGTAAAAGGCCTCTGAATTTCAATTTGTGATACAAAAAAGTATTTATGGCAACCTTGGTTTGCTTGTTATTGTTGGAGTGGCAAGGTGTCCATCGTGCATGTTTACATCATCATATTCTTGAAACAGAAAAGGTTGCAATGGAGGTTATTATTGCTCTAACCTTCCTCTTCGTCGTCGTTGGATATAATGAAAGAATCAGGTATAGAATCTCTTTGTCGGCTTCTGGATCTTCTTCGTATTGGTTTGTCTGGAAGATACCAACAGTCGCCTTGCAGACAGTGAAGTGGTGGAGGACAATGTTCACGAGTATCACATGGACCTTATAAAGTTTAGTTAAAAATCCGTCAAAACGCTCAGAGTAGCACTCAAAGCATATTCATGGCTGATAACCCAATATGTTTCAAACAAAATTTATCATTGAGTTGGCTATACAGATCGAGCTGTGTGAACCCATGCATACAATATGAGAAGAACAGTAACCCACTGAGCTTGTGAACAATAAGAATACGGTGATTCACCCAGAAATAGTTAATCAGAACATAAAACAACTTTATTCTTTGATACCGACACCAACGAAACCGACATGCAACATGCTGTACAAAAATTGGTATTTTATTAAAAAAATTGGAACAAGTACATACAGATAAGTGCTTATGGAACCTTTTTAAACATCCAAAACCCGTGTTAGAAACGAAAAATTTGTATTTGTGAACTTGGTGGTGCTCATTCATACAAATGACCAACTATACCTGGCCATTGCAGACGCTCAGGTCGACGAAGTTTATCAGTCGCTCGGATAACTCTAACGTGCTTCTTTCCGTAATAAAGACTGAGAGGAACAGAGGTCGTCTAAAATTAATAGTTGCTTTACTTGAAAAACTCGCTCACCTGCTGCTCTGATCTTTTTTTATCGGCCGCCTCAGGTAAGCTCTTAGCAGCTTCCTCGAAGAGCTTCTCCGCTTGTATTACTGCAGCTTCATCTGAACCCATTCACGTTACAAGAGCGCGATGAATAGAAACGTACCATTCACAATAACATCCTCATCACTAGTTTTACACATACCAGAGCGACTCATATCCTGAAAACAAGAGAAATCAACGGACTTGACCTCAAGCAACTAGTTTTTATAGGAATTCGGAAGGCTAAGAGAGCAATCTACTTGACTTAATCTACCGAAAGAGAAACACGGAAGATCCCGTTAGTCCAGAGAACTAGAATCCACTTAGAAGAGAAGAAGCTTGTGATTCACCCATAAGCTATTTGTAAATTACTAAAATTATACCTGTTCATATCCTTGACTACACTCGCATTTACCAAGGTCACAAACTTGAATAGCTTCAGGGCAATCATCATTCGTTTCACAAGCTGGAAAATTCGAGATTTCAGATTGGAATTCAGATTAAAGCTTACTGAGAGCTTGCCATAGGCATTCACACGTTTGACAACCGTTTGAATCCAGAGATACAAAACAGTTTTTCGCACAAAGTTCGGGAGTGGGACAACCTTAAAACAGATAGTTAGTGAGCTCTTTTTTTGAACTTTTTCACCTTCTACAGCTCCCCGGTGTGCAACAACATGGCTCGACGAGTTCGATGTTTTCTTTCTCAAGAAGACGGGAAGCAAGTTGTCTTCCAAAAATGTTCCTGAGGACGTGGGCTTCTTCTCAAAACGTTTTCGGTTTTCTTGTTGTTCATCTTCTTTTCTAGAAAAAGTGTTTTCTCCTTCCGTTGTAGCCTCTGTTTCTTCTTTTTCCGAACCTTAAATTGTGAATAAAATAACTTGATCTAATTTACTCTCTAGTCTACCCTCAGCCGGATCCTCTCCGATCTCTCCAGAAACTTTAACAACTTTCAGGTTTTCACTAGACTCTTCACTGTCCTTCTCTCCGATAAGAATAGACTTATGATTGATTGGTACTTCGCCAAAACCATCCAGGTCTAGCGGAAACGATGGTTCTTGGGAACTCTTTCCAGATCCTTCCTCATCATCCCCAGTATTCTCCTGTAAAAGACAGACGGCTCAGAAGAAAGGAAAAGTTTTTTGAAATACCAAAGGATCGGCAGTGATGTCGATCATGATAGTTGTAGCCTTCTCTCTGAAATGCAAGATATTTAAATTATTTCCAGACTGGCTTACCCTTCAGTCTCCGTGCTTGTATGGGTAAAAACAGGGCTAGATAAACCTAAAAAAAATATTATTTTGAACAAAGTCAATAAGGAGGTACCAAGTAAGACAGGTAGCTCAACGTTCGATAAAGATTTTTTTGTTCTGAAACGAGAAAATCAGAGTATTACGCAAGTGTTGAACAAACTTTGTTTCTATGATTGAATGATTATCCGAGTTTTCCTCTAAGAGCGGGTCTGCAGATCCTTCCATTTCTTGTTGTGCAACAGTAGTAGAAGCGTCTTCATTGAAAGCTATGTCTTCTTTCTCAATAGGTCGAGACGCTGGTGGTAGAGTTCGTTGTCTAGCAACAATGGTACCTTCAAAACAACATATTGAGATTAAGAGAGTTTTTTATACCTTTGAACGTCTTAGTAGGAGCGATGGAGTTAAGCAGTTCTTGTTCGAGTCGTTCCTCGGTGAAAGTTTCTCCGCTCTCAACAGCGGCATTCTCATAGAACAATCCATTCTTCAATGAAAAGGAATTAGGAAATTTAGCGGAGAGAAAGTTACATGTGCTTCAAAAGGTTCATCTGTTGATGCTGATGGCCCAAATATCCTAGCATTGGCATAACAGTAAATTAGAGAAGTTAACAACAGCAACTTCATCTATAAGCATTTGTATGAGTTAAGACAAAACTATTTAGGAGGAAATGACTAGAGAATGAAAATGACTGTTTTTCTTTGACAGCTTTGATCATTTATACATAAGAAGGACAAGTGTAGTCAAGTGGCTAGAACGTGGAAGAAGGAAAGACAAGTTTATTTCTTCCAAAATCTCCTTGACCAAGCCTCTTGAAAGTCATACCTCATCCTTCTTAAATGATTTCAAGCTAGAAAGTCAAATTGTAAAAAGAAACAGCTTGTCGTTAAAACATCTTGTCAAAGTGTAAATGCAGGTTCCTCTCAATTTTGTAACCTGGAATGAAGAATAGAAGAGATGAGTGAGAAGGAAATTGGGTAATATGTGAATGAAAGTGAGGCGTACTATTCTCCCACGGCTCCAAATGAATAGCCAAGGTTTCTGAAATGAGGTTAAAGGATGTTGGTAAGATCGCACTAGGGCAATTATCTCGTACCGAACATGGTTTCTTTCAGTCGGGAGATTACAAAGTAGATGAAAATTCACTTAAACTTTATTCTATAAATTATTAAACTATACATATTTACAGATATTTCACACTGTGTTACTAAATATAAACGTATAAAGCATACTTATTATTTCGCTCACCAGGAACAACGATAAACCACCTCCTTTCCTAGTTTAACTAGATTTGGGACCCGTCCTTCTTTCAGAAGACAATGCTCTCCTTCTCCAGAAACATTGAACTATATATGGTTTAGACAGTAATAAAACTATTGAGGAGGTGGTGGCGGTGGAGGAGGAGGTGGCAGCAATAAAACATTGGGAGCAGGACTAACTGTCGCAACGGCGCTGCCTGTTGGAGGGCCATACAAGCCCAATAATGGACGATTGCTCAATGAGCTTCTATTTCGAGAGCACTGCGAGGAATTGGTATGAGCCATATTCGGAGCTAAGTTGGGAAGTAGTGACGAAGGAGCCAAGGAATTGTTCGGGAAATATCCAGAGCTTCCACCGGGACCGAACTGTGTGTAACCTGTTGATGGTCCAGTATATCCTGATCCTATTCGATTGGGTGCCATATTAACAGATGGGCCACGTGAGTCTATTCCCTGATTGAAGAATTGTCCTCTATTAACAGTCGATCGGCCTAATAAAACGTTCAATGGTGGTGGAAGTGTTGCTGAAGAGAACTTTTGAGAAATAAAGAACAAAAACAATAGTCACCATAATTGGGGAACAACACAGCTGGTTCATCACTCTGACTTTCAATGTTCATTGGAACCTCTGCTCTATCTTCGAACAAGTTAGCAGAGTTATTCAAATCCGGACTACTTTTTGAAGATGAATCAGCTGAGAGACTATTGGAGTTAGCTGTCTTGTTTGACTAAATATTGACTTATAAGTAATTTCTATTCTAAGCCGACTTACCAAAGGGGTTGAAGAGTCTGTAGATTCCAAGCAACGATTCTCCTCCACTTTGGACAGAGAGTCGTTTGCGTTCGCTTCTGGTGGCAAAGGGATAATACCAGGTGGTACTGTGTTTGAAACCATTGTAGGCGAAGGGCAGGGAATGTCATCCAAAATTGGAGGTGGTGGTGGAGGAGGTGGAGGAGGAGGAGGTGGTGATTCGGGAGGAGGTGGATGAGTTACATCACTCGCGGTTTCCTCAAACACATCATGTTGTTTCAAATCTCCGTTTTCCATGATACTCTAAAGAAAGCAGAAATTGTGATCAGAACAGAAACAGTACATACCATATTCATAGGGGCTTCGAAGAGGTCATTGTCTGGAGCAGAAGAATCAAAGTCTGAAGGAGAGAAAGGCCGATCTACACCCGGCTCTCCATCACCGAAGTTCAGAATAGGTTCACATATACGTTCAATCTCGAAGCTTTTCTTATTCAAAATATTGTGGTTTCTATCGCTGCAAATGATTTGACGGATGATGCTTGATAAGTTACTCCTACCCCATGCTTTTCTTGATGGCTATTACTCTTTCGTATACTTTGTTCTTCAGGCTTCTTCGATCTCTATCATTCAGATTGTTCTTATCCATAAATACAGCAACAGCGTTCTTCACAACACCTGTAATGTTCAGTATTATCAACGGTACACACGAGTCAAATCTTACTGGGATCATCATTTATCTCTATGAAGTTCAGAACGTCGTTCAAAGTTTCGAAACCTGCAAAGATATTCATTAAGAAGATTCAGAAATGAAAACAGTACTATCGGATCGGAAACTATCTTTGATCACTTCTTCAGAGATTCTATTGATAGCTTTCCTTACTAGGATAACAATAATTGAGTCATTGTCATTCTCATTTCCCAAAAAACCGGGAGGGAAGTCAATATCTGAACGAATTCGATTGATGATCATCATATATTCAAACTAAGATATACCTGAACCGTCGTTCGTGGGTCTCATTGGCATGAAATAACCATTCTTCAGATTTTTAGAGTTAAGCAAAGAAAAGTCGAGTAATAGAAATCGGTTACTCTCCAACATGTAATTGAATAAATACTTGTACTTGCACAATCCGTTGTAATCCCCTTAAAACATGTTATGAATATCATGAAACCAATCCAAAAAGTTACCTGGCTTCTTCAAGCTCATAACAACAACTTTCATATCCTTATTGTCCTTCAGTAGACCTAGGTACTCCATAACTAGATAGGGTGTAACACAGCCCTTAGAGAAATAGTTTAACAAAGATCGGGAAAAAAAAGATTACTTTGATTTTCAAGTTTGACGGTAGCTCATAGGATCGGCTCACATCTATTGCAGATTCGGAATCACCTGTAAGAAAAGCTAAACTAGTTCTGAGAATCGAACCTTACCCATGAACGATGTTGTCAAACAGAACTTATCTAAAACTATGTTTCCTCTCCAAACAATCTGTGATCTGGAAAAACAGATTAGAATCTTCATCAGATATGAACTGACCCATCCCAGGGTGTGGAGTCATCGACACTATCAAGCTTCGAGTTTGGGGCTTTTTCAGACTTCTTATTTCCACGTTCTTCAGTAGTAGTAGAAGTGCTAGGCTCACACCTGAAGAGTTTGTATAATAACCATCACCGAGTCGGATGATCTTACCTATCATATACGGATGGAGAATCGTTAGCTGCATACTCAATATCATCGGAGTTTTGAACAGAATGAGGCGGAGACGAGAACGGCTACAAATAAGGGTATAGGTGAGAGATTGCAGAACTTTTCAGCTTACCTTTTCAGAATGCCCGTTGAGCTTTTCAGTAACTTCTTTTGTCGACGACTTCCTCTCTTTTTTCGATGATATAGGAGCGGAGGAAGAAGAAGCCGATGCCTGAACAACAAGATACAATGACCAATCCAAATTAAAACTCATACGTTTGCCTCTTTCTGTTTTCGTTTCCTTTCCTTTTCCTTCTGCAATCGGACCATCTCCTTCTCTTCTCTCCTTCGTTTTGCTCCTGCTTTTTTCTGTTCGGCCAGACAAACTTTACAGTTCTTGTCAAAGAAGTGTGAAAGATGTTGAGACGTTGTGTCCACGGTGGAATCTCCAAGCAAAGCATCCAACGTCGAATTTACCTAGAGCCAAGGTACGTCATGAGGAATATATAATTTCAATACCTTCACAATCTCATCTTGCGGTTTCTCTGCAGTTTTCTCTTTTTCAGGAGTTGCCTTTACTTCTTTGGAGACATCAATGACTTCTGGAGGATCTTGAGTGAACAAATTGTATTAATGTTTAATTTTCAAAAAACCTTTAGCTTCGATCGCCGCGGTCATAAACTGCTTGCTTAGTGAGGTCGGAGCAATTCGAACAAGTTTGTCGAAGTCAAGATGCCTCAGCATCAGATCTCGAAAGAACACCTGAGAGAAGGATCAGATGATTTATCAATGAGGAAGAACTAACCTTATTTTTTATATCTTTGACCAGAAGAATGAACTGCTTGAACCATTGTTTATACTGCGGGACGTAAACAGCATTTGACTTCTTTAAAATGTTGTTAACAAATTTCAAATGCTACTGGAAAACCTCGTATAATGATTTTTCCAAAACCTCAGCCGTCTCTTTACAATCCTTTACACGGAAAGTGCTTCCAACTTCACATTTCACTCTGAAAAAAACTGTTTATGTTTGCATGACTAGAACACAACCTTGTAGATAAGGCCTCAGCCATAGCTTTCCGTACACTTAGTCGTACGCTTTCGACTTCCTTAGCCGGAACTTTCTGATTATCTGAATATTCTACTAAGAATGCTTTTAGGCATACAAATTTACCTTTCGTACATGCCGGAGTATTGTTAGCAGTTTGTTTAGAACAAGAATCACCCAGAACAAGGTCTGAACTCGATTCATCATTCGTTTGGTGTTGAGATCCAGAGCCTTCGTCATTTATTCTAAGATAAGCAGATGAGAAAAAATTGAAGAAGAGTGGACTAACGGTAACTCTTTTTCTTCTGAACCAGAAGGCAAGTCTGCTTTGGCATCACTGTCATCTTTGAGATCACTTTGAGAACCTTTTTCGCTAATATCATCTTGACTTGAATCCAAAGCTTCAATTACTAAGTTATGTAGAGCAAGAAAGTTAAGAAAATACCTGATTGATCCTCGGATTTATTCTGATCATCTAAATGTCCGTTGTTTAGATCTTCCGCTATACTACTTGTATTATTCATTGTGTCATCCACACATTCTACAAAGCACACAATGATGGGATTTCAATGTGAAGAAACAAAACCTAGATTATTCATAAGAAATTCCCTATCTACTTCGCTATCAGAATCCTGGAATATAAGCTTATCAATTAGAACGCGGGAAGGAATAACGTACCCTAGGCTTCTTGGTCTCAGAGTCTGTTGTCGAAGCTTCAGAACTTTTTCTTTTGCCTCTTAAACAGAAAATAATGTAAGGATCGATAAGTGAACTTTACTTCATAATGGAAGTTTCATCTGAAGAGGCTTTGGAATTAGTTCTATTAGTTCCAACCTAAAATATCAAATAATGTCTCTTATTCAACCAGAGAGGCTCAATTTACCATAATTAAGAGCAGAACACACACATATCTACAAACGGAATTTACAGCTTTCTTAGCCTTAAAAACGAATGATCGATTGAATTGATGAACATTTTGGAATGTATATACGAAAGGAAATAACACATGTTGACATTAAACTTATGAGATAAGGTCTGTTGTTGCGGAAAATGTTACAATTGTACTTATTTTTGGTTTAAGGACATACTTTGCTAAGTTTTGCAGTTCAAGTACTAATGATAAAGTATTCATTTCTTTCTGGAATACATCTTTTCATTCAAATGAGTCGTTTCTAAAACAAAACCTAACATAGTTCTGAAATACACGATTGAACTAAGCCAATACAACCTTAAGCAAGCGAAAAACAACAGCTTTGACAATGGTCCAGCTTCAATTTGTATTGGGTCAGGGGCGGTGCTAGTTATAGCAAACGGATTCGACATGGAAATGAATTTCCGAGCAGGTTAATGATCCAAATAAAACAAAGTACAATTGTTGAAGCAATAACTATTTCTAATCAACAATTATTATTTTGCAATATAACAATTCCGTCGTTTCTAGTAGTTGGTAGCGTCTTGCGTGGGTGATGGGCGGAATGGCTAGGTCATTTGGCAGGCTCTCTAGAGTTTAGTTTACATTCTGAGAACAGACAGAATATGAGGCCCTTCCTTCTAATCTCATTTCGAATATCTACTAACCAATTAGAGTGATATTAAAATAATTTATTCACGTGACTTTCACGCCTATATTAATTAATAAATAGTTTCTCTCAATAATTAGCAAATTTTACCGAATGCACAACAATTGAATTAGTAATTCAAACATTAATAAGTCGCGAATAAGTTAAAAACCTGAGTATCTCAACTAAGAGGCAATTTGTGAATTCGTAGTCATCTATTACTCCAAACTCTTGAAAGAAGATATGAAAGGAATACACGTCTAGTTCGAAACAATGTGATAATCTTGTTACTTTCGATCAATAGTCATCCGAATTCGTTTCTTTTTACTTCTTACCACCGAAAAATTGGCTAATGAAATTGGCCGGTCCAGCAGGCTCAGCACGTGCTTGTGGAACGCCTGCTCCTGCTAATGCGCTTATGATAGCTATAAGAACAACAAATTAGTTCTTGATTGGATTTTATATACTCACTGTCAATATTTCTTGCATCGCTTGCAGAGTAAGAAGCGGGATTAAGAAGTGCCTCCAGGGGAGCTTGAGTAGTTGTAGTTGTTGTTGCTGGTGGTTCCATTCCTGAGAGAATTTCAATAACTCATATGTAACGTTAAAAATGATAGCGTTTTATTCCGATGCGCGTCACGTCGGCTATGCTAATGACGCATGACACGTCGGAAATTAATTTTCATTTAATCTCATTGCTTACGCAAAGATCGGTTGTTAAATATATTTCCAGGTGTGATTAATTGGGGGTGTATACAGACAGATTCCGCGAAAGGTTATTTTGTGTCATTTAGCTTCTATTGTTATTTGCAACATTTTCTCATCGTTTTTGTAATTATGGCATGTGAATATGAACACTATACTAACCCATCATCCGCCAAATGTTGAACTTTCCAATTCTAGTAGGCGATTCACGTTTCTCAGGTGCCATGCCTATTGATTGAAATGAAAGGGAAATTCATAGAATTGTATTACCAAAAAGGCCCAAAAGCTGTTGAGCTGGATTTCTGGTTGTAGTAGGTTCAGGTGTAGTTGTCATGAATCCACCTATAAAACCAGTTGTGTTGCCATATTTGTTTATTTCTGGCAAGCAGTAACGAGAAACGAATGCAAAAATTACCAATCAGTCCCATAAAATTATCCCCAGCATTTCTAGGCTCAGCTCTCGGAACTGGTGCGCTCTCTGAATTTCCTGTTCCTGAAACGAAGAATTTGAGTTTTAAACTAGAAAAGGTATCGAACCAAAAAAGCTGTTAAAGATATTTGCCCGTCTGGGTGGTTGTGTGACCTGTTGTGAATAAGGCTCCGATGAAGCATCAACAGATGATCCTATAATTGGTTGTCACTCATTATGAGTCGGATATTGTCTTCAAGTTGTTATAGATGGTATGTTTTAAAGAGGATAACAATCTAGTATTAGTCTCAGGGATTGAAGACAAGCAAAAAGATGACGGATATGGCCATATCATCCGGGTGACCGATCCAAAGTTTCATATATTATTGACCGAAGATTAATTGAATTTTGAAACGCTCTATATTTACCGAGAAAAGTATTGAATAAAGATTCGATTGGGCTTGGCCGTGGAGTAGTAGTTGTGGTTGTTGTGGTGGTTGTAGTAGTAGTGGTGGGCATGAAAAATCCACGACCTGTAACTTATTGCGTATATATCTTGAACACATTTTTTTTTCTCTCTCCATCAGATGATCTGAATTGTTTGAGATAAATTGGAAGGATAAGCAATAACCATATTCTATCAATCTGGCCATATCTAAGCCATTCGATGACCCGCTGGTAACGGAATTGTCAGTCTCAAAATTGCGAATTCCTAAAGGTAATGCATCTGTAAGATGTGACACGTAGGATATCTACCTTGGTAGGGTCTGTTGAAACCGGATGAAAGCGATCGGTACCCATTTCCACCGTAAGAATCAGAGTTTCCAGAGCTACCGCCTCCCATTATGTTACCGCTCAGTTCCATGATTTGAGAGGCTAGGCCGTATACTGAAGATACTGATAAGTTACAATTTAAAAGGCAATGAACTTACATCGCTTAAAGCTCTCTCCATTCTCCCCATTACCCAGAGATCCTGATAAAGCATCTTTCTGGCAAAAAACTAGGGAGCAGAAACTCAAAAATACAATCCACCTCATGATACAACTGAAAGCGTTGTTTAGAACAGCTTTTAGAAAGAAAAAGTTTTTAGCTAAGTGAGATATGACTGATTCGGTAACAGGATAATGAACTACATTAGCTAAATAAGCTATTTAGAAGCGACTTTTCACAAAAATGATGAAATGAATGCAGCTGTTTCTATTGTTGGTGCTAGTATGGTGGAAAGGATTCAACGGCTTTTGCAAGCAGGTTCTTTCACGACTAGCGATCCGCTTGGAAGCAACTTAGAAAATGAAACGTACAGAATGATTACAAACATTAAGAAGACAAGAAAAAGTTTCAGAACATTTTATGGAGAGAACCTGACGAGCATAGCAATCCGAGGAATTGCCAAGGCAGACGACGAAAACGTCATCTGAAAAGTTTTCGTCGTCATCATTATACCCACATTGTTCAAGGAATGCCATCTATTATCATTAAGCGGAAAGATAGAACGTGATAGGATCAGCTATAAAAGAATGTAGCAGCTAAGGCAACTTTCACAGACTAATCTCAAAATTTCCTTTTTTCTGCTTCATATTAGCTTTCTCTCAATCTCTTGTTTTGTCCATGTTAACCGAAGCTCTCCATCATCCCCAATCTATTTCCATTGAAAGCCGGTTACAACAAGCATTTTGGGAATATTCCGAAATACAAGCAGTGCAAGCAATGAATACCCGAATCCGGATGTCATCATATCCAGGATTGCGGCTGATGGTATATTTATTCTTGCACTTTATCTAGGTATGTAACAGGATCTAATGAACGATACCTAGAAAAAACATCCAAAAAATTATCTGATTAACTAGTTCATTGTCTTGGATGTTTTTTGACGATGACAAAAACTTATTCTCAATCGAGATACCATATCAAGGTCTGACGATGATTAAGCTTATTGCATCACGCATCGACACGAGAAAGCTTAGAAATCTAACAAGAATTCACATGCCAAGCAAGTAAGCGGCTGATTTATCGTTCGATTGATTCAAAATTCGAATGATCGTTCCGCAATTTTCATAGCCTAGTATATGGTGACAGCATCAAATCCCAAAGAAATCGAAAATGGAAGGGGGAGAAAAACGAAAAGACGAAAAGATATATTGGAGCTCGAAGAGGGCCAAATCAACTACCCAGGGATATTGAAGAATTGATTAAGCCGAAAATGGTGTCATGCTATTGAGGTGAAGACGAGAGGTGAAAAGAATAAATGGTTAAGGTAATCGATCCGATTTGCAATGTATGCAAACGAAAGTTCAGGAAATAGTTCAGGGAGTATTTGGATAGAGACATGAACATTATACGGAAATGAAGAAAGAACAAAAATTATGCTTTGCAAAAACTGAGAAAAAAAAAGAAAATTTTGATCTATGAATGCAACCGATCTGTCATATAAGGCCATATATAAATGAAAGCGATTCAAAGGGTAATATATTCTTGTAGTTGGGATTTCGCAGACGACCGATTTCCACGGCTGTACGGATAAGAATGAAAGTGTTGCTTCGGGTGTTTCACGGATGTTTCACGGACATTACACGTTCAAACTTCACGTGGGAAACGAAACAAACATTGTCCAACTCTAAAGGCAAAATGACATAACAGCCTAACAGAACAAGAAGTGAGAAGAAAAGAAAAATAAAGAGAATGTGAGAAGCTTTCTCTTAGATGAGATCTAGTAATTGTAGAACCAGAAACCTTTTAATCGCAATTGGATAGAGAGGCTTGATCAAGATCAGAAATGTGACCAAAGTTTTGAGAATGACGGAGAAAATCAAAAAAACCTGGGGAATGTTTTGAAGAACGGTTAGTGTGTGGCTATACCCTGCGTAATACTAAAATAAAAATGATTGTAAGTAATGAAAGAACCTCACCTCGAAACAAATGACGGAGAATGTAGGATTACTACCAGCAGGGTGATGTCTCGTACGACTTGAGGAAGGTCCAATCGTGCGGATAAACGCAGGGCTGAGGGAGAGATTATAAGTATCTAACCGGTTTCCAACCGTATATGTCCACCGCTTTGGTAACTGATGCCAGGCTTGTTATGGTGACATGTTGCATACAAAAGCCAGTGTGCATTCATAAAACTTTATGTCCATACATAGATTAACGAACATTCTTAAGCAAAGAACAGAGACTATATACAAACTTTAGAGCTAGTTCGGGATATTAGCGAT